TTTTTTGGTGCTGGGAATAGAACTGAGGACCTTGTACTTGCCAGGCAAGCACTATGCCGCTGAGCTGTATATAGAATTACGTAGATTCAGTAGTAGTGAGCTGATAACTTTTTAAGTTTCTTTTTAGCCGGGTGTGGTGACACACACAATCTCAGTGCTCTGAGGCTGGGGTAAGAGAATCATTGTTTAAAGATAGCCTGGGCTAAATACTGAGTTGAAGATCTGCCTGAACTAGACAGCAATCATCTGTTTTAGAAAACAAAACAAAAAAGAATTTATTTTTACACTGACTAACGTCTATCTCAAAGGTATAGATTCTGTTGCCTACACAAAATAAGCCTCTGGAAGTCCTATATCCACAAATATCATCTATTTTATGGAAAACTGCATAGTAAAACAAATCTCTACAGAGAAACTTGATAATCATCAATGACACCACAGATAGAACAAAAATACCCATTTCTTTTTGTTTCATTTTTGTTAAATGAAAAGGCAACAGTAAAGGGGTAGACTGAAGTGACAGAACAACCCAAGGTCATAAGCAAATGCAGGAAATAAACGCAACAATGACTAACTTCCTGGCTTGTATTGTGGGGAAAAGTATCTTGTATTCCTTTCATTCATTCAACAAGTATTTTACTGAGCACCCATGATGTGCTAAGGACAGCTCAGCATTGATAGGTTTTTAAAAATAGTAGAAAACATTGTATCTGTCCTCTAAGAATCCACAATCTGTTACTTGTAGGTAAATCAGCAAATGAAAACCACACAAAAAGAAATGCAAGTCAACAACTAAGTGCCAGGACAAATAAAATAGTCTGTTGATAGTTATTTGTAAGTTATATCTAAAAACCTCATTGAGAATGTTAGAACTTGAAACAAAATTTAGGTAAGCAAAGGAAACTTCATGGTGAATTGAGGACAGGAGGCAAGAAAAATACTGTAAGTTTAGTCATGAACTAAACTAATTGACTCAATTAAGATACGAAAAGACCAGTTTTGATTCAAATTAGAAGTGTCAAGACATCAACAACTGAAATGTGCTTTCATGTTTACTGTAAAAGATCCTTGAACGTTATACTGAAGAATGGAGATACTACACCATATGTATAGAAAAATATCAGCTATTCTTGGGCAAGGAATCCCATGCTGACATCCAGAGTTTTGGAGAGGGGGCAGTCTTCAAAGAAGAAAATCTGTTCAAAAATTGAGTACCCTAGTCATGGAAGTATGACAATCTGGGCTCATATAGTAGCAAGAATACAAATAAAATAAGATCTGTTAGAGCTTGCCTTACTTAATATTAAAACAAAAAATCCAACTTACTTGTAAAACACAAACATTCACTTATTAACTTATTGAATGATGAACCAAAGGCGAGTGACTATTAAACAATCACAACTAGTGAGGCATTACAAAAACTTTTTTTTTTTTGGTAATGGAGAATGAACCTATGAATCTTTAAACTGAGCTATATACCAAGCCATTTTTAAAATTTTGAAACAGGGTCTCCCTAAGCCACTACTTGCCCAGGATGGCCTCCAACTTGTGATTTTCTTACACTGGATTCCCAAAGCGCTGGAATTTATAGGTATGAGACACCATACCTACCTAGCCAAAATTTCCTGTTTCTATTTTTACTTCCGTATCAACCCATAAGATTGTATAACCTCTATTCTCAAATTATATGGATTGAATCATAGGGCATTAGGGTCTGAAAAGGATCTTACAGTCTAGTGGTGATGAATCTACAGCATATGTGCCATTGTAGTCTGTTTTTATCATTGAAAGCTCTAAAAGTTCTCCATCACTGTTATAGATCTTATTCTCACCATAAGAGGATGAAAACTAAAACAAAACAAAAATATGAAAGAGTATGACTCTTGAGAAAAGGCAAATCCTCTGTGGCTGATAGCAGGATGTATACGTTCTTTGTGTAAGAAAAAAACAAAGAGTAAGACATATTACCAAGATATGGAAGAAGACAGTCTCACATATTATACTTTGATAGAAATCTCTACTCAAAATTTTTGAGTTTTGCAAATAAAAAATTTCTTAATATTTATACAACTTACAAGCCCTCTTCAACTTTTAATTCTATAAAGTATGATTTTCTTATGCATGTAAGAAATGAGTTTGATCTATAGAAGATACATGTGAAAAAACATTAAGATCCATTTGATAGTTACCAACTAATTACCAACTGATTTAGATTAAATTAAAATGGCATTATAGGTTACCTTCATTAATCAAAAAAACCTTCAAAAAACAAAAAACAAACACTGCATCTCTAAGTTAACTTGTTGCATTTTAAAATTATAAATTTTGGATTCCCCAGATTAGTGTTTGTTCTGCATATTGTTTTACAAACAAATCTTAAAATTTTGTGTCATATTCAGTAATATTCCTAAGGCCACAATCACTTAGCATGTAAGACTTTCTCTAATTTTAGTCTTCATTTGGTCCTAGCAAAAGATCTTAACAAAATGTGGTCAATACAGCTGCCCCTTGGCAACTCATTGGTACTAGGACATACACTGATACATAAAATAGAGATGCTCAAATTCCTTACATGTAGAATGACACAGTATTTGCATATAATCTACTCACATCCTTTGGTATACACTATTATCTCTAGATTACTTATATGCAACACCTAATACCATGTGCATGTTAATATAGTTGTTACAATGCACTGTTTATGGAATAACAAGAAAAAAATCTGTACTCTCTCTTTACAGATGTAATTTATTTTTCTAACACTGTTAACCAACAGCTGAATCCACAGATGTAAAAATCTGACAAGTATGGAACACTAGCTTGTTTATAAAGGTTCCATAACTTTCAATCTCAAAATCTAAAGAATTTGTGAGTTCACTTTTAAAATTGTATGGCAGAACCATGTGCTGTGAATGATATAGGCAACCTGCTTCTTCTCAAGTACTTTATTATCAATACTTTTTAGAATACAGACAGAAGAAATGAAACAAAAAATAATTTCTGGTAATTATTATCTTTTACTTTTAAGGTGATGTTCACAAAACTTGAAGTAAGAGTCATCTTTTATTTGAGGATGCAAATTATCCATGCTCTCCTACTCTCCTTTAAAGCTAAAATAAGTAACTTTAGCAAGATTTGGGACTCACATTTGTTAGATATTATTGGGGGAAAGAAGAATGATCCAATTTTCAGAAAAATGACGTAGATTCTCTTTGGAACCCTCCATGGTGGACTTCTAAAATATTTACTCACTGTCCTAACAGGAATCAACAGAGTAGAAAGAATTCTAAATATCTACGTAATTAGGTATACTTAAAGGCACATAGCATATACTGGCCTAGGGGGGGAAAAAAAGAAAAGAAAATTGTAAGGGAAAATTCAGAATATCTGAATAGATATACACCAAGTGAACTTATTAACTAGGAAGATGGCCACTATACAGCTAAGGAGAAAGGGCCATAAAACAAACCGTGACCAGCTTATGTCAACGAGATACATAAAAGTACTTCTAAAAAACAAAATCTGCATGTTACTAGCAATGACTAGCTGGTATCTTGTGTTTGGTAGTGCTATAGCACCATTACAGCAAGGGTAAGCAGGTCAGTCCCTTGCAAAACTTACCTTGATTGGCCCAATGGAAACAGAAGGCCCCAGAAAAGAGAGAAGCATCTGGCAGTAGCAAATTGTTTTATTTTATCTGTCTGTGGAAAGAAACTAATTTTAAATAAGAACCAGAGCATTTAAAGAATAAATATTTTTAAAAGCTCATTATCTAGTTAGAGCAGCTCTACCAAGAAAACTGAAGAGCTCCTTGCTGCTTAGAGATGGAAGGAAACAGAAGAAGAATCAGAGCTGTCTCTGTTATCTCCTATGGATTTTAAAATTTGTATTATTAGAGTAGCAGAATAAAAACCTTTTATATAAAGAACCCCTGCAGGCAGAATTTTTTGGGTCTGGTGCCTTTGAATAAAGATTTCTGTACAAAATTAAGGGCTATATTCCAAATACAAAAGAAGAAAACCATTTGACATTGAGCCCTTCTACTGTTAAGACTAAAAAAAAGATAGTAAGCTCCTTTGTCCACTATAATTTCACTAATAACTTTAACTATCATGGCTTAAACAAATACCGAAGTAAACAGTACTCTTTAAGAAAAGATCATACATAATCAGCTTTCCAAAAGTTTGCTAGCCTAAATTTCTCTGATTTAGCAAGATATCCATATGAAATAACCCAGCCACCTAAGGACTTGTGTATTATAGAACCTAGCAGTGTACACAATTTTTAGGGTATGTGATCTTGTTGCCCTTAGGGATGCTTCTGTAGAAACTCAGTTCTACCAGTCACTGAGTCAGCATTAAAACCTTTCGATCCAAATCACTCTCACAAAGTGTCCATTTATATTTTACACTAGAGATGGAAGGGGAAGCTAATAAACAGGAGTGCAGAAGCAGTAAGCACTTAAAAACAAAACAAGTGTAAGTGGAAAATGGACTACCTATTTGGTACTGTCCTGTAAAGAATCAGATTTACAAAACAAAATCTCCCCACCCCACACACAAAGGTCTTTCAAGAATAAAATTTATTCTAGGCAAAATTTCTAGACAATTACTATTTTTTGATTCCATGCATTTTACATGATTCACAAAAATAAGTTACGTTGTCTCTACTAGATATTTATAAGATTAACTTCATGTGGCATGCTTGAAAAAAATCATTAAGGTAAAAACCTAGATGTACACTGTCACTTTAAAAATTTTTTTTAAACAATCAATTTTGTTGAAGTAGTGAATTTCTTTCACAGAACTGTTCCATTAATATTGAAAATTTGATTACAGTTGATGATTCAACATTTGTTTTATTTGAAAGACTATCTGCTTCTCTAGATAATGCTTAAACAGCTACAAGCACAATATCCAACCTACATTTTGAGATTTTCACACAGTAACAACTGACACAAAAATAAATGCAAAACAAAACAAAAATGTTAACACTCTTACTTGTCCCATTGGTGGCCCTCCCATAGGGGGCATCATTTGTGGCATCATTCCATGAGGTACAGGAGGCATATTTGCTCTCTGACCCATTGGGTGCATTCCCATCGGTGCATAATGCATGCCAGGGTGCCCCATCTGAAAAACAGTGAAAATTTAAAGTTAGTAAGTTGCATTACATGATCCTCAAAAAAAATCTCACTTGAACTAATCACTTGTGTAACAGAGGCACATCAGATTAAGGTATGATTGTTATTACTGTATTAACTTGTATTTGTGTCTAACAAAATGTACTATGCTAGTATTTATAAAGAGCCTACAAATTCCATAATGAAATGTCAAAGATTAAGGTCACTGATAGGACAGGTGAATTACAGCTGTCTTTTTGGAGGGAGGGGCATCGATTTAATTAACTACTATCTCGCTCAGCTTAGAGAGTATGTAAGCGATGAAAACCAAAACTTTGTCCTGTTTCATACAAATGTAAGTCATCTAGTATTTTACAACCTTACTGGGCTGATTTTAAAATTCTAAATTAATTTAGATGAGGACTGGCCTTGTAAAACACAGGAGCACGGATACCCAGCAAAACTTCATTTCTAATAGCACACCAGTTTCTGATACCAGTTTAAGACAGCTAAAATTATTTTTGTCAAAGTACATTCTCAAATGCAAACAACTAATTCATTCTTTTTAATGCATTTTAAAAGCTAAATACTTTATTTATATATGTCTATTGTTCTAGATTTCAAACCAGGTAATGACCCCTGCTAGTTCTCCCAACAGTCTTCCCTGCATAACATCACTACAGAAAACAAATTTTGGTGATCTCTTTTTAAACTGCTAATGGATCACCATTCCCTACTAATACGGGCCTACGGTTCCAACATTCACAGCCCGCCCAGGGTCCTGGGCCCTGGACCTTCACCGCGCATCTGTCTAGGCCAAGCCGAGACGTGAACTTCAGGGTCCCACGTCCTTCTCTTTGTGCCGCCCAACCCTCCATTTCTCTTCCTCGAGACACATCCCACCATCTCGAGCTCTTCCTTGGTCCACTCTTATCTTCTCCTTTCGGAGAAAGCTTCCTGTCTCTGACTCCGTTTTTCATTGTGCCGCTTTCTCCGGCCCCACCGATCCCTTACCGAGGGCCGTCTCCTCAGGAAGCCGTCAGCAGAGACCCAAGAGCTGGAGCAGAGGCTTGAGCCGGACAATCTCCGCTCCCCGTCCCCGGGACCCCGCGAAGGAGGTTGGCTCTCCATTTCACTCACCATGAGGCCTCCACGCTCGGCTCCCGTCCCCGGCCTCATCGTCGGGCTCAGACTGCTCCGCCGGCGGCCACTGCCGCTACACATACCAACAAGAAGCGATCTGAGTGGCTGGCGCCCGCTGGGGCTAAAGGTTAAAGGCTGCCCTGAGCTATGGGGCGGGATCAGCGGGGCTAACAAGCTGACAGGCTTCCCTACTGTCCAATCAGCGTGCGCTGTCGACACGCAACTCTGCGGCGATTCGCCCCCGGATTCGGCCTCGCTCGGCGTCGCCTGCATGGAGGGGGGGAGGGGAACGGAGGAAGTTTCGGCGCCCAGTCCTCGGCGGAGAAAACTCCATCAACTTGTCCCAGGGGAGGCAAGACGCCCTAGTCCCAGCCTCCCCGGTTTAGACTACCCTCACCCCGCAGGGGGTGGCGACCTGCTACCTTCACCCCTCCTCCAGAGTTACACACGCTCCACAAACCTGAGGCCGCCCAGGGTAGGGTGGTATTAGGGTGGGACGGGGGCGGGGTCAGCAGCGCGCTGCGCTTTCCGGGACTGAGGCCGAGGTGCGCGCGCCGCGCTGGCGGCAGACGGGTGGGACTCGGGGAGTGGGCTGGAGTCCTAACGCCCCGAAGCCCCGGCGCGAGGCGGAGGGGAAGGGAAGCGTGTCGGGCAGCGAGGAGGGAAGTTGTGGTCCGGGCGGGGTCAGAGCCTAAACTGGAGAAAGCATTGGGCTGTTAAGGCACGGCGAGAGCGCAGGGGAAGCAGGCTAAGAGTGATTTTAGCGCCGAAGAGGGAGCGAGCTAGGCAAAGTGTCTGAGGGGACCCAGGCGGGCGCTAGGACCTGGCGTCGAGAAGAGTCGGCTTTAGGGCTGCGGGAGCGCGTGCTCGCCTGGAGGAGACGCGGCTGTGACGGGGGTGCCCGGCCCAGTTGGCGTAGTCCCTTCCCCGCGCTCTCGCTCCCCCCCCCCCCGCGTGTGAGGGCACAGTGGTAAAGGCCGCGACGACGCCGGGCGGTGATTGGCTGAGGCAGCGCGCTCGCCCGCTCGCCCTCCGTGGGTCGTTCAGTCTTTCCCGCCATGTCGTTTTTGGGGAGCGGAGATTATCTGCGTCCGCGGAGTCGCCTGGTGGGCACTCCTGCCTCTCACTCTCGGCCTTTGAATTCCGTCTTCTCTCAGGGGGAGAGCTGGGGCGAGGACGAACTAGACGGAGAGGAAGGCGGCGATCGAGTGGCCCGCGACTTGCGGGCGGAGTTCTCGGCCCCGGCGTCGACCGAGCCCCGAAGGGGCTGGCTGCCCCCACCCCGCGGGGATAGCTCGCCGGTCCTGCCGGACAAGCGCAACGGCGTCTTCCCCGCGGCTGCGGGCAGCCGGTTCCGGGCTCGGCGGTGGCCTGTCCAGGTGCTGTCTGTTCTCTGTTCGCTGCTGTTCGCCGGCCTCCTCGCTTTCCTCCTGGCCATCGCCTACCTGGTCGTTAAAGGTACTGAGCACAGGCTTTGAAAGTATGCGGAGTGAAGTTGAACTTGCCGGCGGGGTGGCCTTGATGCACACCTTTTCCTGTGGAACGTGGGCAGCCGCTTTACACTCAGCCCCGATGCATACCTTTGTTTGCTCTTCTTTGTTTTCTTGGATGGAGCTCGCTAGTGCCTGAGGAGGAGACACATTTTAAGAACCTGTTTTGATTAAATGGATGCTAAAGTCAATGAAATATTTCTCTTGATTGTTTAAGCAAAACGTAGGACACTCACCCACCATTAAAAGGAGATGGTGAGAAGTGCGTGCATTTAAAATAAATTAGATGTATTTGTGTGTGTGTGTGTGTGTGTGTAAATTTACACACATACAGTCTTTGCTCCACAAATGGCTAAAAGTGTGCCGTCCCATTGTTCATCTTTATACTAAGAATTCTTGAAGCGAGGATTCCTGTTCTCCAGTCCAGGTTTCTACTTTTAAAGATAGCTCCTCAGTTTTTTATTATTATTTGTAATCAGTTTTATTGCGTAAGATAGTTTTCTTTACCAGTTTCATTCCTGTGCCTGAAGTGGAAATGTTGGCCAAATTTGAAGAAAAATAGGTGTGTTGTGAAAATTTTTCTAGGGCTTGCAGGGATGTATTGTACTTATTATTTTTATTATGTATATTATATATTATTTGTTATATTTATTACAATGGAAACGTTTAGTTCTCATTAGTGGTTCACCTTGGCCAAATTTTAAAAAAGCTAAAAGAGGGAGAAAAAACTTCCTCCTATAAAAAGTACACAATACTTGGCCACTCACGGATTGGTGTTAACTTTATTAAAGTTAAATGTAATCCATTTTTAAATTTTTTTCAGCCCCCAGAGAGCTGCAGACGGTCTCTTAACATCATACTATATTTCATTTTCATAAAGAAGATAGATTGGCAGATTAACGAGTGAATTTTACCCCTTAAGAACATAGTGTTCCATGTAAACTATAAATCTTAAATGTTAGGCCGCCATTGCCATTTCTCTTTTACTCCTGACCACCTTTTTCCCTCTGATAGTTTTGTTTTGTAGAGAATTTATTACTCTTTCCTGAGAGATCACTTTTGTATTATTAAGTCACATAATGAAGTAAATGAAAGTTCGTCGCAAAAGACATTGATAATATTTTGGATCATGGAGAAAGGAACTGAAATCAAAATCCAGTATGTCCTTAAATTTGTATCACATGAAGTATCTTCAAAACAAAAAATTTAATTGCTTGCTGAAGGTCATGTAGCTAGTAAATCAAATTAAAATTTGACTGCAGTTCAACTCCGAGGTATTTCATACAGTTATATAATGTCTTCCAAGTTTTAGCGTTATTCTTCAAATTACAAAATGATACTGCTTTTCCTACCTGAACGTTTCTTTGTGTTTGCAGAGTTACATGCTGAGAATTTGAAAACTGAAGATGTAGATACTGGGCTGATAGGTATGCACTTGCCACTTGATTTAATTTTAAGCTAATTTTTGTTTTTCTAAATTAAACTGTACAGACTTTGGAATAAAATACTGTATTTTCATCTGCAGTTGATTTAGTCATGCTTCTCATTTGTGTGTGTGTGTGTGTGTGGTTAGATTTCTTAGATACACATCTATTGTATTATAAATTATGTGTTATGCATTTACTATAACTTCATAAACATTTTTAACAAAACTTTTGTTGGGGTATTTTTGGTGCTGGGAATCAAACTCAGGATTTTGCCCTTGCCAGGCAAGCACTTGTGCTGCTGAGCTATATTCCCAGCCCTGAGCATTACTATGATTCAGCTCCTTCACATATATGGCATTTTTTAGTTGCTTGTTGATAGAGGTTCTCCAGAGTTCTTTTAAGAAATTTAAACACAAAAGTTGAGAGATTTAGCCCACATGAGTAATGCATGCAAATCTCAGGAGAAATCAAAGGTCAAATAGTTCTATAGGCAACACTTTTTAAAATTAAATCATTGACCATACTTGTAAAGATTAATGATGAGGAGGATCATAGCTGAGTTTTTTCAGTTTCTTGTAAAATGCTGTAATTTCCAAGTTTCCAGTGAAAAAGATATTAATGCTATATTTTTTCATGTCATAATGATCTTGGAGGATTTAGAATTTTACTTCTGTATTTTACTCCAGCTTGCCATAAATCATTTGATTTGATAATTTGAACACGCCCAATCTTTGCTTAGCTCCAGTCTACTTCTCTAAAGCTAAGGCTGTCACAGTAATGCTAAGAATAGTCTACTTGCTTTTCGAATAATGAAGTTAGTTTGCTAGATACCTTTAGAAATTTTTACTGTCCTGTTATTTCAGCATATTTATTATTTTATCAGTTTTGTTGTACATTTTCATTTCTAGACAACAACCAAGACTTTTCATGTCTTTTTTTGTGTTTTTTACGGAACTGGGGATTGAACTCAGGCCCTTGCACTTGCCAGGGAAGTGCTTATTCTACTGAGCCATCTTTCCAGCCCCTTGTTTATTCTTTATTAATACAGTGGAGAGAAAATCTTAAGAACTAGGCATGATTTCTAACCTGTTGCTATTTAAATACAGGGTTGATTTCATACTTATAAATTAAATGGGTGACAGTTCTTTTTTTAAGTTTTTTGTAGTGCTGGGATTGAGCCCAGCTCCTACCTGCTAGGCAGGTATTCTGTCATTGAGCTACATTTCCTGTCTTTTTCATTTTGTTTTGAGACAGAATTTCACAAAGTTGCTTAGACTGGCCTCAAACTAGTGGTCCTCCTCATAGTAGCTGGGATTACAAGCATGTATAATTATGCTCAGCAGTAGCAATTGTTATCTGAAGGAATGGCTTGCTCAATATAAAAAAGTATAATGGAACTTATGCCACTTCCCTGACTCCTTTTCCAATCCAGCTAAATAATTTACATTGCTTTTAGGTATGTGCAATAGTTATTTAGTACTGTGAGAGCAGGTAGGGAGATCAATTTCTAAGTCCTTGATCCAGACATGAATTCATTGTCAAGATTTAGGAATGGATAAAACTCATTTTTTGTGGCCCAAAAACTACGAACTGCAGCTGGGCCAATATGTACTTAGAGTGATCATGTGGAGAATAAATACAATGAACATCACCTAATAGGCTAATTTAGTCATATTCCTGGAGATTTATTGATTAATTGATTTTATTTTTTTATTTTGTAAGTTTAGCCTTTTTTAAATGTATTTAGTTCTGGGTCTCTCTACACAGATGGAATTTGTAGTGATCCTCCTGTTTTCAGCCTCCCAAATGCTGGGATTATAGGCATGCTCCACCAAGCCCATTCTCAATGTTTCATTGTGCCCTGGGGGTAGGGCCTGCAGGTACAATGGAGATCTGGAGATCAAGAAGGTCCCAGCTTCTGCTTAAGCAGGCATTTTAATCTGTTGAGCTATCTGGCCAGCCCATACACACGGGGATTAACTTTAAAGCAAGCTATGTATATCAAATGATGTGGATAGCAAGCAGTCTGTACCACAATCGTCTTGAAAATCTGTTTCAGAGATACAGTGTTAAATTGTGGTAAGGGTTGAAATGATTGTGCTAACACTCTTGTATTCTAAGCTGAAATTCCCACCTGTTTGGGAGAAAAATACAAGTTGACTTCCTTACACTTCTTTTTTTCTTTGATTGCTAATTTCTAGTTAAAATTCTTAAGTGGATACTTGAAAAGATAGGCCAGTTCTCTAAAATTTTTGACAACCCTGAGTTGATTGCTTATCTTACCCCAGAAGAAATGCCTGTACAGTTATATCCTACTCTTTGTGTAGCTGATAGAAACGATTTCATATGAAGAAACCGTCCAAGTCTTTAATTAAAAAAAAAATTATTGTTGAAGTTGCCTATTCAAAAAAATGACTTATGCTCTTATCATATAGCAGTAATTTCTTTCTACTCTTGGACATCCAAACATGGCAGCTCATTTATTAAATGGAATTGAAAGAATCAAAATTTCCTTTAAGCCTTTGAGCAGAGTGTTGTATGTAGAGTAACATTAAAAAAATAGGGCCAAGAGCTGGCCAGATAGCTCAGCGGGTTAAAGCGCCTGTTTAGGCAGACACAGAGACCGGCTCCACCCCCAGGTCTCTGAGATGGCAATTGAGGGTGTGGTGGCGTGTATTTGTAATCCCAGCTCTTTGGGAGGCTGAACAAGGGCAGATCACTTTGAGTCCATCTATGTAGTGAGACCCTGTAGACCCTTAAAAAAAAGGCCAGCCAGATAGTTCAGCAGATTAAACCACTTGCTTAGGCAGGGACTGGGGATTTGATCCCCAGCCTGCTGTGCAGGACTCACCCTGAGGCTTGAGGTGCTGAGATGCTGATCCAGACTGGGTGTGGTGGGTGATTGAGACTGGGTGTGGTGGTGGCCTCTTGTAATCCCAGCACTTGGGAGGTTGAAAGGTTGAAAAACAGGAGGAACACTGCAAGTCAGATCTGTGTAGTGAGTCCCTGTAGACAATTGTACTAATACATTAAAAAAAAAAAAAAGTATTCAGGGAAGCTATGGGCAGAAAATAGTTAAATTAAAATGCATTCTTGGTATCAGTGACCCCTTAGTGAACCCGAATCTGCCAGGTGTTGCAGTGCAAGGTGAGAGAGAAGGAAAAACATGGAACTGGCAATACAGTGGGGATCTGGAATGACCATTTGTTCCCAGGGAACTAAAGGCTGAGGCAGCCAGAACCTGGGCATCTATTGATCAAGGAGGGGATCTTGGTGGTTTTAGTTTTGGTCTTAAATGCATGATAAAGAATGGCCCATCCCTAAAATAATGGGAAGTCTCAAAAGGGTGACAATGCTATTCCCAAGCTTCCATTTATTCCTTAAGGAAGTATATAAAACTAGGCATGGTAAATTTGTGGTCCCCAGCATCTTGGCACATGTGGAAATACACCTTGGCAAGAGTCAAGAGAGTTTATGATGGTTAATTCTTCACCTCTTAGATCCATTGTCTTTCCCTGCTCATGGCCTGGGGGAGAGACCGTGAACTCTACACCCTGAATCCCTTGCCTCTGGGTTCAGTTGAAAAACTAGGTAGGGATTGGAAGTCTGTAGATCTAGGTCACCACCTAGATCTATTTGTGCACCACCTTCCTTCCCACTATACTTCTTAGCTCCTGAGCAGTAACTCTCAGAGTACAGCAATGTCTGCCTCACTGTACTTCAAATGGAAGTTCTTGGCCACACTTCAGTCCACCTCAGGCTCTAGCAAGTACTACTTCATCACACCTTCCAGGTGGTTTTGATGCTGTCTAAAGCCAGAGGGCCACACAGTCAAGTCCCTGGGGATGGTCCTCAGCAGTTCTAGCTTGTACTGGACCCCAGTAATTTCTTTTCCTCCTGACTCTTTGTGTGTCGGAGCAGAGGGGATTTCTCAGCCTGGCTAGTAAGTGAGTAGTGCACAACCTCCTTGTTGCTGAATCCAGGCCTATTAATGTGTTTATTAAGGTCCCTTGAGTGTACTGCCTGTCTCCTGCAGGGAGCCTAAGTGCCACACTGAGTGACCAAACATGGGGCAAGGCTGGGAACCAGAGTATCCAGGGAGAACAGAGGCACAGCCAGATAGGGAGCAGGGAACACACAGGTGGTGTCCCTACTATGAATCAGGATTTTACTTGTTAGTGCTCATAATTCCTTTCCCAGTGGGCATCTGCTGCATTTTGCTAACAGCCAGCCAAGTCAGACATTGCACTGTGCCCTGACCCCTGTTGAGGGTGGGTTGATTCCTCTTTCTTTGCCAGGAAGACTCCTTTTACTTCCTGCCTCCCAAGTCACCACACAGATAAAACACTTTCAGCCATCCAGCCACAATGAGATAGTAGCATGCAGCTAGTTGCATAGCCTCTCTGGGTCTCCATCTGCATCCATACATAGGGTTATTAATACCTGCTGGATGCCGCATTGGAAGGTAATGTGGAGCACTTTGGTCGCTCCATAAGCCGAAGAACAATCCTGTTTGAAACAATCTTTCCCTCATCTAGGGTAATTCTCATTCTAGTTAGGCTGTTTCTCTACCTCAGTTGCCCAGGCAGTCCATTTTCCTTCTGTGACCCCCCTCTCCATAGTCTCTCTAGTGGCACAGTTGCCACACATATGGAGCTATTTCTTCCCTTGGGCCAGCCATTGGCACTTCATTGTATTTTCTTAAATTTATTTTGCCTGTTTCCTAGAAGGCTGAACTAGATAAAAAAAAATTTTTAGGTATTTTTTGACATAACGTTGCCTTGTTGCTGTTATTTTAACATTTCAGTGACTCATTGCAAACTGCCTCAGTTCTTTGAAAATAAGTTGACTTTTAGAAAAAAGTTATCTACCATAATTATCAGTTTACACTGATAAAATTGTATATATTGCAAATTTTTGCATTGCAATTTAATCTTAGTCCAAAAGTCCCCCTATAGATTGTGATTCCTTCTAGGGTGAGGCTCAAAATAAATGATGCT